GTTGCCTGAATTAGTAGTAAGTTCGTATTAAAAAATTATAACCCGCAATTGCAGGTGACACATATGTTATTCCTTTTTGGGAAGGAATTCCGCATTATTCTTACATTGATTGGAGTTATCAGAGCGAAGAAGAATCATGTACTGATGGTTCGGTGTCTGGATCGGCTTCAATACAAGGTCCGTGGCAACTGGGTGACATGTTATTTGTCAATCAAGAATTTGCGACAAAAAAAGATGTCCAAATGGCACTTAAGCACAACCTTATTAGGGAGCATCAAGAAGCCATTGTAATTGAGAGCACGCCTGCAAAGTTGTCCATGAAATGTTGTGCGTACGATCAAGGTTGTCCGTGGCGCGTAAGGGCGATCAAACCGGTGTTTCGTGAAAATTGGAAAATAACGAGATGGGGTGGAAAACACGAATGTGTGAATGAGCACATTTCCCAGGGTCATAGACAGCTTGATGCGGACGTTATTGCAGATCTCGTGATAGGTACCTTTTTGTATTTTAAATGTGTGATTGACCACAAATGTGTAATTAAATTCGTTCGATGTTATCGAGACACTGATATCCTCTTCAATGCAGGGATGATAAAGTCTGAACCATCTGTGTCAATCTCTTTGGTGCAAGAAAGGATAACTGCTAAATATGGCTTTCAAGTTTCGTACAGAAAGGCGTGGTATGCGAAGCAGAAAGCGATGGCAATTCTGTACGGTGATTGGGAGGAATCGTATGCTTTTTTACCAAGGTGGTGCGAATACATGCTTCGCTTTTCTCCAGGTTCATTTTATCATATACAAACTAATGATCTTTATGCCGAGCAGAGCTTAGTTTCTGGAAAAAAGGTTTTTCATCGCATTTTTTGGACGTTTAGACAGTGTTGTGAGGCGTTCAAATTTGCCAAACCCGTCATCCAAATTGATGGAACACATTTATATGGAAAGTACAAAGGGAAATTGTTGGTGGCAACAACCCAAGATGGTAATAATGAATGTTTACCGATCGCATTTGCCATCGTAGAAGGCGAAACTTTGGAAGCATGAGATTATTTTCTCGTTAATATTCGTGCTCATGTGACTACGATGTCAAACATATGTTTAATATCCGATCGGCATCGAAACATAATATCTGCTGTGGAAAATAACCCTACTTGGCAGCCGCCAAATGCGTATCACGTATTCTGTATTCGTCATATTGCAAGCAACTTCAATCAAAAGTTTCGAAATGAAGATTTGAAGCGGATGTTAAAGAATTTAGGTATACTCATTGACTGAATGCTTTATTATTTCTTTCCATTATGACTGTCAATTTATGTTTAATTCGTTTATGTCCAATTTGTGCAGGTTATACTCCAGCAATGGTTGATTTTGAAAGGAATCTTGCGAGTTTCCGTGAAAGTAGTCCTCAAATTGCTGAGTGGATAGATGCGATTCCTAACGAAAAGTGGTCGCGTGCCTACGATATTGAAGGACGGAGGTACGGTCATATGACAACAAATTTGGCTGAATCTGTCAATAGGGTTTTGAAGGGGGCCAGAAATATGCCTATAACAGCATTGGTTAAGCATACACATAGCAGATTGGTTGCATATTTTGTTGAGAGAGGAACAAATGCTCTTGCACAACTTCAATCAGCTCATTGTCACTCCAAACATGTTGTTGAATTGGTCAAGAAGAACCAGGTAGATGCAACAGGCCACCACGTTCGTGCATACAATGTTGAACATACTGTATTCGAGGTTGACACAGGTTGGGAACGTTCATATTCTGTCAACCTCCCACAGAGATACTGTCAGTGTGGAAAGTTTAAGGCCTTTAAGTATCCATGTAGTCACGCTGTTGCTGCTGCGTTAAGTGTTAGGCAGAGTGCGTTCACTTACGTTGACGACGTCTTCTTGATAAATAACTTGGTCGAGGCTTATTCTTTTCCGTGGGAGCCAATCGGAAACGAGGAAGCAATACCTGAAATTAGTGGTGCAAAGATTATTCCTGATTGTACTATGTTGCGTGCAAAAGGTCGTCCAAAGTCAACTCGCATCCGCAACGAGATGGATGAAGTTGAGACAAGCCAGAGCCGTATCAGGTGTGGACTTTGCAAGGAACGCGGCCATAATCGTCGGCGATGTCCAAGTCGTGGGAGAAACGAATGATTTGCATATTATGTTCATATTGTTGCTGTTGGTTATGTTATTGCATGAATTGTAATGTCCGTTATGTTGGACTTTTTACTTTCCGTTTATGTATGTTTTTAAGCTTGAATTATTAATTAGCTGATGTTGTTAGTTACCGTAATATAAATCCGCAAAGAACGATAACCAAAACATAGTGAATAGTCCTATCTTTGCTGCCCTCCGTGATATGTAGCGCTTTCCCCTCTCTCTGAACCACTCCATGTACTCATGATTAGGTGACATCAAACCATATAATGGAGGTGGCAGTACAATATGCTGAATCCTAGTATTCCATCGATCAATGTGAGTCCGGAGCTTACGTCTCCAGTTCTCTTCAACCTTCCCCCGTAGAGTATGATCATGTATTCCTCTCAATTTTCTAGATTTTTCTGGGATGGGTTGATTAAGACCAAACTGTCGCATGCACCTATCCGGTTGACATGCCTCAACTGTGTGGAAGTAGATAATAGGTGTGGGAGCTAGCCACAGATACTGCTGCTCTGGAGTCACGTCAAGCCACTCATATTCTATATACGGCTGCCACACCACCTACAAACAAAATGTGAAACAATATATAGAGTTACAAAAAAAAAATAAACCCATAGACAAATAACAACACCGTACGTATCTAACACCAAACCTCATCTCTACAGAGTGTGTCCAATGTTGCCCGATAATGGGTGACCTCATGAGGTTTAAACTTTTGTACAACATTAAACCTGTCAATCAAAAACATTATCAACCATACATAATCGTCCAAAGTCAAGAAGTATACAGTTAGTACATACAGTATTAACCATACATTATCGAAATCAAATGAAGTAAATAAATCGTACCGGCATCCATAATGTGTGCCCGACTGTGGATGAGGAGGAAGGGGTGGAGCAATGGGTGGGAATCGTATCCATGCCCAAATTTGAAGGAGAATATGGCAACCACCCATGTCGCTTCGACGGGCATCTGTCACTTCACACAAATTCCTGAACAAGTGTGTCAAAACTGCAGATTCCCAGCTGAATCGGCCAATGTCCTCAAATCCTCCACCTAGCAACGGGACAAGCCGACAACCAAAATTGCTACCTCCAGACTTGTCCGCCAGCAACCAAGTCCCCAACATCCGCGCAATGTGAGCTTTTGTGAAGTAGATCTCGGCAGCATGATTCCCTTCATGATCAGTCCACCGGGTATAATGTCGATCCAAGAATGAGATGCGGAGGTCGCCAGAATGATGGAACTCACCGGCCTCTGGAACATGTCCAAAAACACCAGCACAAGCAGCGTGCCGATCCTCAGAGGTCGATCCGATGACGACAGTACCGTCGGTCGGCAAGCCCAAGATGCCTGCCACATCTTGTAAGGTGATCGTCATCTCACCTTGGGTCATGTGAAAGGTATGTGTCTCTGGTCTCCACCTCTCGACCAGAGCACTAATTAAAAATGTATCTATCTGTGATAAATTACGCAGTTATCACGTGTTAACGAATTACATTATTTAATTACATAAATACAAAACGACATAAATAACATACCTGGATATGTTGCATCCTGGCAACATGTATGAAACCCGCCTGTCTGAGGTACTCTTCCACAACCTGTGGAATAGCACCGGTAGGTGGGCCCCCTTGTGGCTTCCCACGCCTCGTCTTAATCTTTCTTACATGCTCAGTATTCCACACACGCTGTGAAATATGACCTTTCTGCGTCCTCTGACGAAGGACCTCCCACCTGTAGGGTCCAGGTATGATCCACATGCTGGGATCGGTGGGCTCTACATCCGAATCAGATCCCGAAGAAGATGATGACTCAGCCATTATCCTTAACTAACTACAAAGTTATGCACTCCCGCATTAATAACATCATACATACGAAATTTACAAAGTCTCTAACACTATTTATAAATCACTAATTAATATGCTAAACCCTAATACATAATTAAAAATCAGTAATAATAATAACTACGTAATAATAATATTACTATATCATTACAACATTCATAGCATGACACAAAATTTCTAAGTGACTATCCTAATGTTCCAAGTCTCTAATATACAATCAATCCTAACATGTATTACTAACTAGCACTGTAATTTAAATGTATACATATGAGGTATTATGACCTTACCTACGTTGGCAGAGCTTCGCTACGAACCGCGGTTAGAGAGAGGTTAGAGAAAGGTTGGAGAGGTAAATGAGTAAGGAGTGAAAAAAGGAAAGTGGGGTATATATAGGTTGCACATGAGATGCCCTCTTTGGGCGTCACATGTGACGCCCAAAGAGGGCGTCTCATTGTGCAACAGATGTGTAATTTTTAACAAAACAGCATTAAATGCGTAATTATTTTAATTAATTACATTATTTTAATTTTTTTGCCCATTTACATCACTTAAAGAAGGTGCCGTCAATATTTCCAATTTTACCTACAAAACCCAAACTACCCGTGAATCTGTTTATTTGCTCCGTTCACATATGTAAGTGTGTCCTGCTCTTTAATGATTGTAACATGTTTGCACAAAAATTATGTTAAGAAATTATTTTCTAAATTTATTTTAAGAAAATATCAAACAATTATTCATAATAGTGGCTATTGTTTTAATTAGCAAGTCAAACTGTATGTTTTAGTAATTTAGTCTTTAGTTTTTGCTTTTACTTATCTTGTAACTTATAAATATTTTAATTCATGTATATTTTAATTCATGTACTATATTTACATCAATGTAAGGTGCTTTCAGTATGTGCTTTTGAAATGTTTCCTCATCGCATCCTCATCCAAAATAATGTTTGTTGGATTTTCAGACTCGAGTCATAAGGAAGAGAGCGGGTTAGAAAAACAATGGATTTTGTAAATGTTCTTATGTCTGTTGTTGGAAGAGTTGGAGCGTTTGCATATGCTCCTATTATAGAACAAGCGGGTTATTTGATATTCTACGATGGCAATTTCAAGAAGCTTGAAGATCATATTAAGGTTGAAGAAGAAAGAAGGAACGGGAAAGAAATTGAAACTGATGTGCAAAAATGGCAGGAGAAGGTGAATGAGGTCATTGAAGAGGCAAATAAGCTTCAAGAAGATCCTCACCGTGCAAATGTTGGGTGCTCTGGGTGGTTGTTCCCAAATTTGCTTTTACGACATCAACTTAGTATCAAAGCTACAAATATGGCAAAAGAGGTTGTTGAAGTACAAGGAAAAGCGAAGTTCGATCGAGTTGCGTACCTTCCACCTCTGGATGGAGTAGGCTCCTCTTCTGGCACAAGTGGTAGTGAAAAGCTTGAGACAAGGGAGTCAATTAAGGAGGACATTATGCAGGCACTTAAAGACCCTAAAGTACACAACATTGGGGTCTATGGGCTAGGTGGTATGGGTAAGACCCATATGGTGATGGAGGTTGCTCATATTGCTAAGCAAGACAAATTGTTTGATGAAGTAGTTATGGCCAATGTATCCAAAACTCCAGACCTCAAAACAATTCAAGGGGAGATTGCAGATTTGTTGGGTCTGCGATTTGATGAGGAGACTGTTGCTGGTAGAGCATCCCGCCTAAGGCAGAGAATTAAAGCAGAGAAAACCATCCTTCTTGTTCTTGATGATATCTGGACCAAACTTGATTTGAAGAAAGTGGGAATTCCTTCTAAGGATGAACATAATGCATGTAAACTGTTGATGACTTCCAGAAATCAAGATGTGCTAGTCGAAATGGATGCTCAACCGAATTTCAGAGTAGAAGTTTTAAGTGAAGCAGAAACATGGAACTTATTTCAACTTATGGCTGGGGATGTAGTTAAGGATATCAATTTTCAAGATATAGCAACTCAAGTGGCAAAAAAATGTGCAGGTTTGCCTATTCGGCTGGTGACGGTAGCAAAAGCATTGAAAAATAAGGATATTCGTGCTTGGAATGATGCGTTAAGACAATTAGAAAGTGTTGATCATGAGGGGATGGATGCAATGACTTATTCTGCTTTGGAGTTGAGTTACAAATCATTGGAAAATGATGAAACGCAGGCACTTTTCTTGCTTTTTGCTGTCATAGGACCAGAAAATAGTGCAGAGTACTTTTTGAAAGTTGCAATGGGTTTGGACATATTCAAGCATATAAATACTGTGGAAGGTGCACGAAACAGACTTTACAAAATAATTGGGTCCTTGAAGGCATCTTGTTTATTGCTCGAAGGTAACATAAGCGAGCATATCCAAATGCATGACCTTGTACGTGAAGTTGCTATCTCCATTGCGTTTAAGGTTCGAAATGCATTTGTGGTGCAACAGAAGACCGAGTTGAATGAATGGTCAACCAACAGTTTTCTTGAGCAGATCATATTAGATGCGTGTCATGAGCTTCCTCAAAGGTTAGATTGTCCTAACGTGAAGCTTTTTGTCTTGGTTGGTGCTAATCGTTCTTTAGAAATCCCTGATACTATTTTTGAGGGAATGGGAAGCCTCAAAGTGCTAGATTTAACATACATAAACCTGTCTTCGCTACCCACTTCTTTTCGATCCCTAACTAATCTTCAAACGTTGTGCTTGTATCTATGTATTCTGGAAAATATGGAAGAAATAGGAGCTTTGACAAATTTAGAAATTCTTTACCTTTGGAAATCTTCGATGAGCAAATTGCCAAGTGAAATAGGAAAATTGACTAAACTAAGAATGCTTGATTTGAGCGATTCTGGGATCGAAGTCTTACCACCCAACATCATATCAAGCTTGACTAAGTTGGAGGAGTTGTACATGGGCAATACCTCCATTAAGTGGGAGGTGGAGAATTCAGCTAAGCAAAACAAAAATGCTAGCCTCGCCGAGCTTCGACATTTGTCTAACTTGACTGCTCTAGATTTACAAATCCGTGATGCTTTGATTTTGCCAAGGGACTTGATGTTTGAGAAGCTGGAAAGATATAAAATAGTTGTAGGAGATGTATGGGAGTGGTCTGACAATGAGGATGAGAACTTGAAAACATTAAAGCTCAAACTTGGTACCAACATAAATTTGGAGTATGGGATTAAAGCATTGATTAAAAGGGTCCAAAATTTGTACTTGGATGAAGTACATGGAATTTCAAATGTGCTTTATCAGTTGAATGGGGAAGGATTCCCATTGTTGAAGCATCTCCATATCCAAAATAATGCTAAAATGATGCACATTGTTGACTCTATGGGTAGGAATCAAGTCCAGGTTTCATTTCTCAACTTGGAAAAACTGGTACTTCACAATCTTAAAACCTTGGAGAAGATATGTCATGGTCCACTTGCAGTTAATTCTTTTGGCAAGCTTAGAGTCATCAAAGTCCAAAATTGTAACCAATTAGAATATCTTCTCTCATTTTCAATGGCTAAAGGGCTTTTGCAACTTTCCCAAATCGAAGTTTGTCAATGCAATTCTATGAAGAAGATAGTGTTTGGAGATTGCGGTGCAAGTGCGGATAATGATAAGATTGAGTTTCTTTCATTGAATTCTTTGACTTTACAACATTTGCGGACACTTGATAATTTCTTCTCTTATGAGTTAAAATCCTCCATAACCAAGCATCAAAGGTCCGAGACTAGTATTCCTGTACCCTTTTTTAGTGCTCAGGTACGATATTTTGCTTTAATTTTAATTTTAATGCAAATTATAATTTTTTAAATTTGTAACATACATAATCTCACTTGCGGATTAGTTAATTGACAAATTGACAGGTGTATTTAAATATATACATGTTATTATTTAGACATTTATGCCATTAGAAATAAAGGATATAAAATATCTACATAGATGTTACTTGCTAAAATCTTAAAAGGCAAGTGATTTTATGACAATATAGTATTTTATTCTATGCTTTCAGCATAAGTTGAATCATAAGAAAGATAAGAAAAAGACAAGAACATGAGTGGTAGAAACTCAATTTATGAGATGCACAATCACACGGACTAATTAGTTGACAAATTGACAATAAACATATATTTATTTAGACAGTGAAGTTATTTTTTTTTATACCAAACTCTAATTATCTCTTTGAGGTGGTTATGAGACTTATCTTTAGTCTGGATTTAATCACAATTAAAGCTCCTCGTCCCTTTTTTAAAATATATTTTGTGGGAATTGAATTCAGATTCTGTGCGCGCTCTATTCAGCATGTGTTGCCAACTGAGCTACATCTTTTAGGTACATTTAAGCTGTTTTAATTAATTAAACAAAATAACATTTCTAAATTGACTTGGCTGAAGTAGCGGTATGTCCATAAACCTTAAACCTATTCCAGAAGTATTGAAGATATGCTCAAGAAAGAGATACTATATCGATTGACACAAGAACTGTCAGTAAGATATCCTCATAAAACTTAATTACTGCTTAAAAACAAATTTTCATCAATACAATTTTATTCCAAACTTTGATTCATACATCTTTTGAATTATTACTTTAGTGTGTTTAAGATGGAATATTTATACTTTGGTATTTTGAAAAAATCACGGTTTATAATTTTTGTTGGGGGAAATAACGTTGGGTTAATCATAATATTATTATCATAATCATGTTTTATATTCGATATTAAATATTAGATAATTAACAGAGTTGTCAGTGTAAAATTTGTTAGCATTATCATGCAAATAACTACTTGACTGAAAATATCTACTTGAAAACTCAAACTATGTTAGTAGCGTGTCAACACATGATTTAATGATAGTGTAAAAAAATTTATACTAATAGTGGATCAATTTAAACCTCCTATTGGAGTAAAATGTAATTTCATATCATTAATATAAAATTTTATAGTATTAATTTACATGGAAGAACTGTTAACCCAAGTGTGAAATTGAAGAGAAATTATTCAAATAAAAAAATCTATTCGGTTTTTTAATAGTATAAAATGAATTTAATTTAGCAAAAATATACTTTTTATCCCTGTTCCAATTTTATTCTAACACAATGTTTTGTTTCCCTGCATACACAAATCAAGAGTGGATTTCACGCTTAAAAAAAAAAAAAAAAATCAAGATACGAAACTGGATCCTTGTTGCAGAAATGTTCATGATTCTTATATTCCCCTATATTGAAATGGGTACTGCTATTCATCACTGTCACTATAAACTTTCAATTACGATTTTTGTTAATTTGTTTCTATATAGGTTGCATTCCCTAATTTGGATACCCTTAAGTTGAGCTCACTCAATTTGAACAAAATTTGGGATGGCAGTCAACCTTCTTTTTCCAAATTGGCAAACTTGATTGTGGAGAATTGTGGTGAGCTAAAGTACTTATTCTCGTCTACCATGGTTGGAAGTTTTAATAGCCTCAAACGGCTTGAAATTAGTAAATGTCATTTGATGGATGAGATAATAGCCACTGAAGAGAGAAACAATGATGCTTCTGCACTGAATGAGGTATGGTAATTCTACCATTTGGAACAATAGTACAATTCCAAACTTGCATTTAGATAAATATTTACCATAATACAAGTTAATTATTTCTAATTTTTCAAATTGTGAATCATAGGTTCTATTCTCCAAACTGGAGACAATCATATTGAAGGACATGAAAAACTTGGAGACGATATGGCACTGGCAATTTGACACAGTAAAGACGTTGCAAGTCAAAAATTGTGAGAAAATTGTAGTGGTTTTTCCTTCTTCAGTCCTGGAAACATACAATAATCTAGAGATGGTAGAGGTTACAGATTGTGCTTTAGTGGAAGAGATATTCGAATTGACTTCCAATGAAAAGAGCTGTATAGAGGATACAACACACTTGAAAACAATTACTTTAGAAGATTTGCCAAAGCTGAAAAAGACATGGAGCAGGGATCCTCAAGGAATTCTTGGTTTCCATGATATAGAAAATGTAAATGTAATAAGTTGTGGAAGCTTGGACTGTCTATTTCCACTTTCTGTGGCCATTCACTGCTCGCATCTCAAAGAACTTTACATAAAGTTTTGTGGGAACATGAAGGAAATTGTTGCAGAGATGGAAGAATCCACGTGGTCAACTCCCAAATTTGAGTTTGATGAACTAAATATTTTACTGCTTTGGAGCTTACCAAAACTCAAGGGTTTCTATGCAGGATATCATACTTTAGCATGTCCGTCTTTGAGAAAAATAGAAGCTACTGGGTGTGCAAAATTGAATTTATTCAAGACTCTATCTACAAGTAGCCACGAAAGGTTTCTAGATGATAAACTCCCAGTTTCAGTGCAACAATCTCTTTTCAGCGTTGAAGAGGTACGTAGCATATAAATTAACGCATATAAATTTGCACAAAAGCTGCTTTGCGTCGGACTTTGTTGTAGATAAGGCTACGTAGAGAAATGTAATATAAAACTATTAATAGAAACATCACTTACCAATCTTTACGTGGCATCAACATTCATGAACAATTGGTCACGAGTTTGATCCTTAATATCCTCATTCTTCTCTTCTAATAAATATTTAATAATGAAATTTCTTAACACATGTAGGTGAGTTTAAGCATTGTTCACCCTTCAAGCTAAATAGACTTTAAGTGAGGAGATGTATTATAAAAATCTAATATAAAATCATTAATATAGACATAATTTATAAGCTTAAAGCTGGTAAATGATGTCTGAATCATTGTCTTATGTTAGACTCTAAACATTTGTGTTATTATCATGAAATTCCAAAAAATATTGTTGTATTTGATTCTGGAACATTAGCCCTATTTAGATTGGGAATTAAATGACTCAACAAATCATAAATCAGCCAGTTTTGACTATTGTAGAAAAGAGGTTAGTGTAAAACTTCATCATCTTTGTTTTTTTTTTTTTTTTTTTTTTTAGCAAATCATATTTACAAGGGAGGAATTTTGTAACTGTAGTTATTTCTGAAAATTAAGCCAAAACAATTATTAAATATATATTTTCAAACTATGATCACTGGGCTTTTTGACCCTTATAACCCTTTCTTAATAATTAATTATCAAATTGACCTTCATTATAAACTATTTCGAAAATTTAACCTCCCCAAAAAATATAACACCAATCTGCCCCTTGTAACGCATGTCAACTTGCAAGGATCAATTACTATCCCCACATACTAACACGGGACTTTTCAGTGTGCTTTTTGCTCACTCGCACACTTCCCGGGAAAACTTCTCAGGATGTCACCCATCCCAGAATTGCTCCAAGTCAAGCACGCTTAACTATGAAGTTCTTCCGTTTCGGGCTACCGAAAAGTAGATGCATCTTGTTAGTATAGGTAGTACCAATTAATTCTTATAAGTTATCCCAAACTGTGCAGTATCATACCTGCACAGTCTTTGGAATCCCTCTCTTTCGGGTGTCGATTCGATTCATTCATGCATGTAACCCACTAGAGGCCTGTCAGGAGCCGCTCCTTGTCAATGCCTCTTTGCACCGGCGATCACTCCTCGCCCTCGTCAGCGCTCGGGATGTTACATGCCCACCAGCTTCCGCCTGGTTCGTCCTCGAACCACACCGTACTGGAAGAGAGGCCCTGCTCTGATACCACTTGTAACGCCTGGTAACTTGCAAGGATCAATTACTATCCCCACATACTAACACGAGACTTTTCAGTGTGCTTTTTCCTCACTCGCACACTTCCCGAGAAAACTTCCCAGGAGGTCACCCATCCCAGAATTGCTCCAAGTCAAGCACGTTTAACTATGGAGTTCTTCCGTTTCGGGCTACCGAAAAGTAGATGCATCTTGTTAGTATAGGTAGTACCAGTTAATTCTTATAAACTATCCCAAACTGTGCAGTCTCATACCTGCAAGTCTTTGGTATCCCTATCTTTCGGGTGTCGATTCGATTCATTCATGCATATAACCCCACTGGAAGCCTGTCAGTAGCCGCTCCTTGTCCGTGCTTCTTTGCACCGGCGATCACTCCCCGCCCTCGTCAGCGCTCGGGATGTTACACCCATGTTTGACCGTTGACCACCAAGCCTACCCGGGTACACCCCTCCCTACCCGGGTATTTTTTGAAAATTTATGCCTACCTGGGTAAGGAGGGGTGTACCTGGGTATAGTTCTTGACATCTGGGAAATTGCTTGAATTATTTACCCGGGTAGAAAGTGGTGTACCCGGGTAAATCTCGACCAGAAACCCCAAAACCGTTCGAATATTATCTCAACTATTTCAAATATTTATGGCAGTTCAATGTGTTGTTATGCACCACAATAATTGATCCCCATTGATTGCGCCCCAATAAATACGCTCCATCGTTGCTTGATTTCTAGAAATTATTCTGAAGTTATTTATTTTTGAATTAGTATTTATTTTCTTCCTAATCTGTTACAATTTTGTTTCCCTTTTTTAATGCTGATTTCTTTCCTAATTAGTGTGTAGCTGATTTACAGAGATTGTACCCTTCATCTTAGCAAAAAGGCTAATCTGATGTAAAGCCTTTATTCTCTATATATTGTATTAATCCTTTTGATGAAAAGCAAGAAAGAAATATGAATTATTCAGAAAAATTATTGTTCCCTTTTTACCAAAATTCTTTAGAATGCACTTTTTACCGAACTTCATGTGCGTATATCCTTCAACAAAATGAGGTTGAGCGCAAAAATCATCTTATTGAAACCACTCAGATTCTCTTACTCCATGACAATGTTCCTTCCGGTTTTGGGACGATGCCATTTTCACTACTTGCTACCTATTTAATTGGATGCCTTTCTCTTCGGTTTTGGGATTTCTGGTCGAGATTTACCCGGGTACACCCCTCCTTACTCGGGTAAATAATTCAAGCAATTTCTCAGATGTCAAGAACTATACTTGGGTACACCCCTCCCTACCCGGATAGGCATAAATTTTCAAAAAATACCCGGATAGGAAGGGGTGTCCCCGGGTAGCTCGGTGGTCAACGGTCAAATATGGGCAGATTGATGTTATGTTTTTTTGGAGGTTAAATTTTCGAAATAGTTTATAATGAAGATTAATTTGATAATTAATTATTAATAAATGATTATAAGGGTAAAAAAGCCCAATAAATTCAGAGGGAAAAATCTTTTATATCAAAAGTGATTTAAATATCGTACTTTATGATGTTTAAAGGTATTCTGATTATGTCATTATAGAGAGAGGCATAAATAGGTTTAGATGAAACTATGGAAAGTACAATGGTAATTACCCAAAAAAAAGAAGGAATGTACCGCGGTAACTCGAAGTACTTTGAGTCATCGTTCCAAAAAAAAAAAAAAGTATTCTGAGTCAAAGGTAAATAATTTTTTTTTTTTTAGTCAATAGTAAATATTCACTTCTTGTAAATAAATTGTGCTTCATTTATGTTTTAGGTGATTCCAAATTTGGAGTGGTTGAGAATAAACCATGAGGATGCTAATGCGATATTTCATGCCGCCCAAAATTTAGGTGTCCTCTTCCCCAAAATGACATTTCTTGGGCTTGCCTTATCTAAGTATGAAGAGGTTATTTTTCCATATTGGTTTCTCCAAGATGTATGTACTCTTGAGCACCTAGTTGTTGAATTTAGTTCCTACAAGAAAATATTTCAAGATGAAAAACTAGTAACTGAGAAAATTTCCACACGGCTCAAAATATTGGAACTGTATGATTTACCTAAACTTCAACAAATATGTGAAGAAGAACCTCAAATTGACCCAGTTCTTCTGGTTCTTGAAGAATTATTTGTTCATGGATGTCCTAGTTTGAAAAACTTGTTGCCTTCCTCTGTTACCTTTAGTCACTTGACATATTTGGAGATAATGAATTGCAATGGGATGATAAACTTAATTACATCTCCTACGGCAAGAAGTTTGGTCAAACTCACAACAATGAAGGTAAAAGAGTGCAATTCACTTGAAGAAATAATGACCGGAAAGGGAGACGAGACAATATATGACATTGCATTTATCAGTTTGGAAATATTGATGCTGGAAAGTTTGCCAAGTTTCAACAAATTTTGCTCCAGTAAATGCTTCTTAAGGTTTCCATTGTTGGAAGAAGTAGTTGTGAGGGAATGTCCTCGCATGAAGATTTTCTCGGAAGGAAACACAACCTCACCAAATCTTCGGAAAGTGAAAATAGAAGAAAATAATGAAAAATGCCACTGGAATGGGAACTTAAATGATACAATAAAGAACATGTTTGAAGATAAGGTATGTTTTTATTTACCAATTGATTTCCTATTTAACAATAAGGCAACTCTCTTCCCGTAATCAATGATGTAAGATGGTTGATTTTCAGTTCGTAACAATAAGAACAACTCTCTCTTCCAGTATATATATCCCAATCTTCCACAAAGAAAAATGCAAGTGAAAGAGAGACGTAGACACAAATCCTCAGTCTAAATCACCTTTACTCTTCTTTTGCAGAGGGTAACAACCATTCATTCACTTTGTCAAAAACTAATAATCACATGGGTATTACCTAAGAAAGCTTATTTGTTGAAGTGTTTACTTAAACCAAAATTTCATTGCAAGAAGATCTCCAGTTTAGCCATTTTTAAATTTTTTTAAAAGCTTTGAATTTAAACGTAACACTTGCATTCTTATTATTACTGGCGGCATATTATAAGTCTATATTTTAGAATTTATATCCTTGTCTGAACAAATAGAACTTTCTTTCTTCTATTTTCAAATTCCAAATAGAATTCAAAAGGCTAATGTTATAAAATGTTAAAAGAGTATAACTCCACATTTATAATTTACTATTGAATTATATTCGCTAAATGAATTATTTTTATTTTGACTAACTTAATAGAGTTGTTTACACAGGTGGCATTCTATACTTTGAAACATTTGAAATTATCTGAATATCCTGAGCTGAAAGAATTATGGCATGGCCAACTTCATAGCAATGTATTCAGCAATTTGACCCATCTAGTGGTTCATAATTGTGATTTTTTATCCGAAGTACTCTTCCAACTGAATCTTCTAGAAGTTCTTATGAACTTGGAAGAACTAGATGTAAGAGAATGTTATTCATTAGAAGCAGTGTTTGATGTGAAAGGTAAATCAGAAACAGATATTCAAGTGGAGAATTCTACTCAGTTAAAAAAACTAAAATTATCCAGTCTTCCGAATCTAAAGCATGTGTGGAAGGAAGACCCACATGGAAATCTGAGCTTTCCGAATCTACGTGAAGTATCGGTTATTGAATGTGAAATGTTAACAAGCCTCTTTCCACTCTCAATAGCTAGAGATATGATACATCTTCAAGATCTTGAAGTGCATGATTGTGGGGTTGAAGAAATTATTGCCAAGGACGAAGGAACAGTGGATGAAATTAAATTTGAGTTCCCTCGTTTGACATCCCTTGAACTTATACGATTGCATAATCTGAAGGCATTCTTTACTGGGATCCATTCTCTTCAATGTAAATCCTTAAAAAGAATAGTTGTGTTGCGTTGTGAAAAATTGCAGTTATTTAAGACACAACCTATGAGCTACGAAGAGCGAGCCGGGGATGACAAACTCCGTGTCTCATCTAATCAACCTCTTTTCACAATTGAAGAGGTATGGGTAGTGCAAAATTTTATCCTTGCTGTGTTGATTGATTTTTACATGCCCTAATTTTAATTTTATTCATTTTATATTGATTTTGGTATAGAGAAATTTTTCAATTAACATATCTCGGTGGTCTCCTGAGAAAAACAAATTTTTTTTTTTTTTTAAGTTAAGCTGATTGGTAATTTACTTTTTTGTTGTTGTTATTTATTTAATCTTTCCACAGTTTCATCAGAAAACAAATTAAATATTTATGTTTTGGAATTTTTTGCAGTAACTATATTTTTATTTTAGAAGATTGCTTTTATTCTACTGTGAGAGAAAGAGAATTCTATTTTGTCTAAACTGAGAAGGAAAATGTAGATTACTTTAGTTCTAATTTTTTTATGCAATAGGTACTTGCTAATGTGGAGCGGTTGACGCTGACTAATAAAGATTTTGACATCATATTGCAAAGTCAGTATTCAGGGGACCATTTCACCGAACTCAAAAGAATTTGGCTGATAGATTTCACCGATGAAGAAGACACTTTCCCATATTGGTTCCTTAAAAATGTACCCAATTTGGAATTGTTAAAGGTTGAAGGGAGTTCCTTCACAGAGATATTCCAAGACGGACCACTTATAGGTGAGGAAAGACAAATCAAAATTAGCACAAGGCCTAAAGAGTTGGTATTAAGTAAACTGCATAAACTTCAACATATATGTAAAGAAGGATTCAAAATCGACCCCATTCTTCAACGTCTTGAACACATATATGTTGTTCAATGTTCCAGTTTGATAAATTTGGTGCCTTCCTCTGTTGCCTTTAACAACTTGACCTATTTGGAGGTAGAAAACTGCATAGGGCTGATAAATTTGATAACATGCTCAACAGCAAAAAATCTGGTCAAGCTCACAACAATGAAGATAAAAGAGTGTTGTTTATTTGAGGATGTAGTGAATGGAAAGGAAGATGAGACAAACAATGAGATTGCATTTTTCAATTTGCAAACTCTAGAACTTATTTCTTTACCAAGTCTGCACAGGTTTTGCTCATGTAAGTGCTCCATTATGTTTCCAAAGTTAGAAGAAGTTGTTGTAAAAGAATGCCCTCGAATGGAAATATTTTCTTTGGGAGACACAAGCACACCTGAACTTGAAGAAGTACAAATAGGAGAAAATAATAATGAATCTCGTTGGGAGGGTGACCTGAATAAAACAATAAAGACCTTGTTTGAAGATAAGCTAAGGTATGTGCTGATCCAAGAGTTCATTTACTTTTCAATGATTTAAGACTATCCGTATTCTGATTCCGTGGATGGAGAAATTATGGTATTAGGAAAATACTTTTGATTTGTCTCTTGATATATTAATTTGATATAACAGGTTGCATGTTACAGAGTCCAACATTTGAAGAGCAATAGAATTTGTGGTATGGCCAATTTCGTCACAATATATTTTGCAATTTGAAATCTTTATTCTTGCAGAGATGTGATATTTTATCATCTCTTTATTTTTTGTCAACAAGTGTACTGTAAATACTCATTGACCGGAAGAGCTATCAGTTAGAGACAGGTTCATTGGAAACAATGTTTTATGTGAAAGGTACAAGTCTAGATATATAATTGTGAAACATTTGAACACAGTATTGACCACTATTTCTAACAGTCACTATTGCAGGATCTTGGGAATCTAGTAATGCTTAATATATAGTGTCTTTGTGGAGTTGAGGAAATTGTTGCAATGGAAGAAGAATCAACAAAAAATGCTTAAGAAATGTGATATTTGATCATATGATCTTTTTAAATATGGGAACTGTGTGTGTTGTTGAAAAAAATAATCTCCAATTTTCTTGTTTATTTAAGTCTATGACATTAAACAATGGATAAACCCACAAAGGTCCAATTGGGTGACCTTAGAATTAAAATACTGGGACAAACCCCAAAGGTACGGCAATGGGAATTCTGTGTGTCTTGGTTTTGAGCTCAGTCCACATACAAGCCTGACACAAATAATTTCCCCCAAACATTTGAGCTAATCAAAATAAAATGAGTGTTGCCCCCAAAGATTTAGCCTAGTGAAAAGGGAACAGGAATGATGCCATGAATAAATATTTAGTATCTATATTTTGTGAAGGAATTAAACTTTATTATTGGTGAGGTGAAATAATGTACAATCTTTAAATATATGATTTTTGTGAATGAAATTAAGTCAAGATATAGAAGGGTAGAATTCTCTATACTTGTATTACTGAATAGGGTTGTAGCTTAAAACCTCGAAGTTGATGGGATTTATTCTAATTTTACATTCCTTTGAAATGTATAACCCATACAGGTAAGAGGACTTAAGGGCTCGTAAGAGATGATGCTGTTTTCGCTGCTGAATGAGACTTTATATACAAGGTTGTAATAGAAGTACACTTGTAGATATATTTGTAATTAGAATTTGATGTTCACCTAATTTGTCATCTGTAAGCAGGTGACAAAATCAGGTGATCTAGTATGTACTTTTGTAAGTCAATATGTATTGGTGCTTATGTTAGAACAATGTACCGCCGAATCTTAATGCATGTGATATATGTAAAATAAGCAACATCCATTGTTATTTGCAAATAACCTTACTAACGTATACGTTAGTTATGTCTAATACTTTCTGCAGCAAAAATCATACTAGATCATATTTTTCTAAGGAAACTGAATTTTTCTAAATTTTAAATTTTCGAATATTATCGTAAACTGAATGTAAAAATTATATTTTTGAAAATTGAGATTCTCGGACAAATAAAAATTTCTCCTGTACCAAACGCTTCCTTAGAATTTAATTTTTTATTTTATTTTTTCAATTGTTTTTATTTTTTCTTTTATTTTTTCGATTTTGAGGAACATTTTTTAATGGAAGGAGTGTTGCACAAGATCAGGCGGCAGATTGAGGAACTGGAGAGTGTTTTTAACGTAAGGAGTGTCGCACAAGATCAGGCGGCAGATTGAGGAACTGGAGAGTGTTTTTAACCTAAGGTACATTTCTCCCCTTTCGTTCTTTGCTTAATTTCGGAATAAAATCGCTGTTTCTTTTTGCTCGGAAGCAATTAATGCAACGAATATGCTATTCCCTGACTAACTGACAGGAAGTGAAGATGAAAGAAATTGTAACAAACCAAGTTGGTGATTTTGCAAACTTCGTAGGCTCTCACTTCTGGAACTTTCAGGTTTCGATGCCTATTCATTCCTCCTCTGTGTTTATTTACCTTCTTTTATATTAAATGTCAGAAATTGGTTCACTTCATATGCAGTTTGCCTTTGTTTTATTTATTTCCAGTTGATGTAAACCCTATTTCCCTTCCTTTTCTTTTTTTTCCTCTCCTCGCAGTTGAAGTTTTTACTTTACTAATTATATTTAGCTGAAAATACTTTTGAGCTGCTCATTGTTTAATTTTAATCATGTAATATTTCATTTGTGTTCAATTGTAAGGATGAGTTGCTTGGTTTGGCTTCGGATCCTCATTCTGATTCTGTCTTCAAGAATCCGGATCTTAACATGGATGTGCTTTATCGTACTGGTGAGGGACAGCAGGTGCAATTTTCTGTAGATGAACTAGCATTCAAGCAATTTTAAAGTGTTCATGCAAACATATATGTTCTGAATAATTTAATTAACATTAGTGATGTGTGGTGCAATTTCTCTTCATAAACATGTTTTCATCTGTTTGTATGTATCCTATGCTATGTTTGGTACAACGGATTTGGAGAGAAAAGAAAGGAAACGTTAATGTATTTGGACGACATCGTGCTCTAGGTGCATCTGCTTTTGCTTCTTTTCTCTTCAATTTCTCTTTCTACCTAACGTTGCCTTAATTACTTGTAAATTTCATGACCATTTCATGAAACAATTTGTAACATCCCCGTCTCGAGCCGGTTCAATTAACATGCATATGATATAAACAGAAACAACGGAAGACTTAACTTACGAAAAATACGAGCTAACTTTTTCTTTTTCTTTTTCTTTTTAAATTCTCATTTGACGTAAACGAAAATCGGACAGAGTTTCCTCTATAAATCGGACAACTGGGGATTTTTCAATCCCACTCAGAAGCATTTCCTGATAAACAGTTTATACAACACATCAATCCAGAAGTACCAGTCATACAAATATAATCAGATACCCATCCATGGGCGCATGCATAACTTGGCTCAGTGCCGCAAATCTAACAGCATGCAATCCAATACATAAACATAACTGAATACTACATAGTCATATCAACATGTCTGAATACAAAAGTGTACATGCATCAAACTGAAAGACATGTACAAGACATATACAAGCCATATACACACTAAAGGATCTAACATCATGATCCATCAAATAAGAAAATACGAAATACATAAATGCACTCCAAAAAGTAGTAGCCTACAACCACTCAAAATCTGGTCCGTCGAATGTCTCAGCCACGTGTCGCGTCCCTGCCTAATGAGGGCTCACCGGGAGTCTGGGAACCTGAAAATATGTCCCCAAAGAGGGGTGAGATTACAAATCTCAATAAGCTCCAGGTTTATAGAGAATTCTCCATACCCCTGGCTCACTCCTGCATGAAAGTCAGATACATAGTATACAAATACAACATATAGCAGATATCATAACAGAACAGAGCATATATCCATATCATATCGGAGGCGTGCGCTGTCATTCCCAAGGGAGGACCCCAAGCGGAAATTAACGCACGTGTTCCCAAGGGAGGACCCCAAGCGGAACCAGCAGAGGCGTGCGCCGTCATTCCCAAGGGAGGACCCCAAGCGGAAATCAACGCACGTGTTCCCAAGGGAGGACCCCAAGCGGAACCAGAACATGTCAGAGGTGTACATCGTCAATCCCAGGGAAGCCCCAAGAAGCCCAAGAAGACATCAGTGTACCATACATCACTACAGAAATCATATCAGAACAAGTCATATCATGTTATCACATAGCTCTATATGAATGCATCTATACAAAGCATCAAAACAACAGTCGCACAGTCTAACCATAGTTCCTCAACCATGGTGGAGCACTCAAGTAAGAAAAGACTCCTTAAACATAGAGCTTACCTCTTGAAGCTTTACCAATACGCTTACTTGTTGCACAAGTTACTTATATCGCTTCAATAAAATTCCACTCCTTTTCAATCCCTAGGCACAGCTAGAGAAGAATTTACAACAAAATCAATAAAATGATATTATGCCATGACCCTTTCATAAAGCATACATTTTATCGCTCCTTTTCGTTTCTTTATATTTTTGCCAATGCTATGCCAATACACAAGTCTAGACCACTTTATAACCGTTGATGTTCTTTAATTTAATCAAGTATTCCCTTAAGAATTTTCAACGTAAATCATGCCATTTTACTTCAAAAGGCCGTGGACCTACCCTTAGGAAATCCAGATACTTTTCCATAATTTCCTTTCAAACCATTTCACTTCCTAATCTTTTTAATTTCATGTATTGAAAGCTCAACATTTTAACAAAATAAAACATAATATAACCATCCTTAATTTACCCTATAAGGCCAAAATCCATAAGCAGAAGCCAAGGGTTTCTTTCTTTTTCATTTCATTCCTTCACTTAATTTGACAACTACGCATACATAAATATATATACATCAAGTTCCAATTTCAATTTTGGAATATCAAACCCCTCAAAAGACCCACAAGGCCGAAACATAGAGGTATGGTTCTTATGATTTTTCCTCTTTTAAGGATCCTTACTAATTCATCATTTTTCTACTTATTACTACACTCTACACTTCAAAATACATGAATTACAATTTTTCATATCCTCCCCTCCTCACCCCCTCATGGCCGAAACATCAAGGGGATACAACACAAGGGATTTTCTTTTATTTAACACATGTAAACATGCTTATTCCACAAGCTTAAATACCCAACATCAAAAATCTATCATCACATTACCTTTTAAACTCATTCCTTTTCCACCCAACACATGCTTACAATTTTTATGGCTCACAACATCAAAATAATGCCATGGAAATAGAGTTTTATTACCTCCAATAGCTTGTACAAGGTCTAGGGAGCCATCTCCAAGCAAAACTCCTCTCAAAATACACTTTCTCCTCCTTGATGAATAGTGACACGAAAATGGAGGGAGGAAGAACTCTTCACACTCTCAACTATGGCTCAAATTGATAGGTGGAATGGATTCATTGGACTTTTTCCTATGATTTCCATGTATGGATCAAAGGATTTGGATGAGTATTTAGGGAGAAATCAAAGAAATAAAAATCAAAGCCCTAACTCCCTTCTTCCAAGGTGCAGCTCGGGTTTGTGAGGGATGAGAGGAGAGAGAAACTGATTTGGATAGTGAGACTTGAGTGACTTGGTCTTTTAAGCACATGTGGCTTTTTAGTCGGATGTTTTTCTATCGCGTATTTTAACTCAACGGACCCGGAACTAACTTATAGCTACGGACATATTTTTATTTTTCTGAACTCATTTACATAAATTTTTATTTCCTAAGGAATCATATTTATGATTTACAGTACCGTTTCTGCACTGTTTTTGACGAAATGCACTGTGGTTCATTAATTATGAACTGTTTGCATCCGAAACTTAAAACTTATAAACTTATCATTCTTGGGTCTATTTTGACTTGCTTGGCATATATTGGACTTTCTTATTCTTATTTCATCAATTATTTGTTTTTGGACTCTACCGGTTGCTTAAACAGCAGTACAAAATACCCGGTAGAAAACACTATTCCCGAAATTTTCACGGAAAGTGCCAGACTATACAATTTTTCGTTCTGAACTCATATATGACGTCAAAATTGTCAAATTATGTCTCTGAAATCATTTTACTCATTTAAGCTCTACCGGTTAATTCACAAACTGCAAATTCTCCGGCAGAACGCACTGTTCATAACATAGTCATGATTACAGTCAAAATACTCGAAATCACTCACTGAATCTAATTATGGCATTTAAATCCTTAAATTAAATCTCTAATTAAGATTTACTCTTTAGGGTCATTAACAATTCAGGCCATAATTGTGCATACTGGCCCTGTTTCAATTACAAATGGTAGCTCCCCAGGGAAGCCCGGTAAGCTCTTGACAATTGCTTTTGATGCAACTGAGTTGGACAGAGGCAATAAGAAAAATAAGCCCCAAAAGATTTTGATGCTCTTGCTGTGAGTAGCCAAGTGGAAGTAGTTTTGGCACTGAAAAGCTGGCAGCATCGCTGATGCCATATTTCAATTATTATTTAACTTCACTATCTCACATCTTACTCAGCTACTCACAGCAATATTGCTAAGGTTCTTTTTGATGAAAAATAAGCCACCTCACATATAGCTAACCTGCTTGACTGTTTCAGCTTAGCAATCTGTTATCTTTCCAACTTGGTCAAACTATGAAATTGTTTCCAAGTATTCACAGAAGGATTGGCTCTCAAGCTATGAAACATTGACAAGCTATGTGGTAACTGATACCATTTTCACTCACAAATTTGAATTTCTGTACTTCCCTGGGATTATTATAAATGGATCATAATTGAAAAATCCCTGTAATTATAAACATACCATTAATGTTTTCACAACCTTGAAATTTTCAGAGCAGATTTTTGTTTTTCCTTGTGTTATTCCTTATTCTGATTAGGATAAATATTCATCAGTCGTGTTGCAGACAATTTTAGAACTAGTGCACGGGAAAAAGGATTCCAAGTAAGTATTTTTCTTAATTTTCATATATTGTTTTGATTATGTAAAATAGCAATTATTAATTATGAAGTTAAATATATTTAATACTATACAAAATAAGAAATTATTATTATTTATAAATTAACTTATTTATTATTAAAATTATTATATTAAATTATTTATTTATGTTTAGTTTTTTTATTCATGAATTCAAATTATAAATCTAAAGATGTGTGAAACCAATCACCGATTCTTTTCCTTATTTAAATTTGTTACATGCCATTTTCTTCTTTTCTTTCCTTTTTTATTATGCCTATGATTTGGCATGACCTCTGTATATGTTCTGTTCAATTCAAAAATCATAATCTTTTATTTCCAATTCTGGCGGAATCTGATTTTTTTCCCCTTGATTTTTGTTTGAATCAGTGAGGAAAAAGAAAGGTTCCATTCACATAATTTGTTTTCCAATTATTTACTTTGTTTCTCATTCCCCTTCCCAGTTCTATATCAAGTACTCTACTCATGTCTTGGTCTCTTGGAAGGTCTAGTTGAATTGGGTTTTTGGGTGTGAATTACTTAAGATTTTTGAGGTTGAGTGTTGATGGCTTCTCAAATTCCAAACTGTATTCCCTCCTCTTTTCTATTCTGTTGTTTTGTTCTGTCTCTTATGCATGTTAACAAAGTTGAAGAGGAAAAAAAGAAGAAGAGATTTTTTATTATTATGTTCTAAGAAGTAGTATGGAAAAGAAGAAAAGAGTAGTTTTTTTACTGTTTTGATTTTACTGCTTTTGACAGCTGCGGATAAAATGATTCCAAAGAAGCTTCTTGTAGATTCTTCAACTGAGGGACTCAGTAATTCCAATGTGGTAATTCCCATTCTAATCGTACTTTCGTTGCATGTATGTTGCATTTGGATTGTTGAATTTTTTTTATTCTGTTATTAATTTGAAATAACATGGTATGTTATCTGTTGTCTTATTCATTATTTAAAGTGAATGTGTATGTTCTTCAGGTTCCTCCTGTGGGTGCAAACCCTAATCTGATGTAACACCATGTGTTTCATCTATTTAATATAAACCAGGTAGTGTTAAAGTAGGTGATATGCATAATGAGTACCTGACTACTGCTTAGGATGTTCCTTATGCTAATGGTGGCTATAATGGGTACTACTATCCAGGTTAGTTGATGTTGGTCAAAGAGCCTATGCTGCTTCCCTACCCATTTCAATTGATTGTATATGTTTATGTTGTCTAGTAGATATCTTAATGTGCTTAACATGATGAGGATATCTAATTGTATTGAACGTATAATTCAAATAATCAATTTTCTTTGGTTCTGCTTGGAAGGGAATTATAAATCCATTTGTAGAGCAGGATATATTCGAAGTTTCGGAAGTCATCACCCACAACCTCATGTTAGTCTTCTTACTGTTATTGTCGATTTAAACTTTGAAAAATACCCAGAATCCAAGCCTTCGCCTTTTTATCATTAGATTAAAGTTATCTCTATTTAACTATTATTTTTTGTATATTGATAATAATTTTTTTTTTCCTTTCATCATTGCAATTTATCTTACTTTTGTTGCTGAAAAATTATTCATTGTTCTCAACGAGTTAATTATCACTCTATAATCAACTCGTTCTCAAACTATGGTTAGAGAGAAAAATCCGGTTCATTATCACTCTATAATCATTGATCTATTCAATTGAGCCGGTAACAAGTATCTATTTGATTAACCTCAACCGTATGACGGTTCACACCTTAACACATATTTGCTCTCATCTTTTTATTTTGTTCCCAACTATTATATTCATTTCATTTGTATCTATTTTATTTGTATCAACTTTTTTGCAACTTGTATTATTTGACGTGTACGCTTGCATGATATTAGAAGTTTTGCTCCTCAAATATAACATTTGCTCCTCATATTTTGCTCCCTTGTAACATCTCGTTCTAGAACCGGTTTGTTAACATCAAAATGGTATTAAGCGCAATATGTTTAATTAGTTAAATGCGGAAGCTTGCTTTATAATTCACTATTAGTCTTAACGTAAAAACGTGAATAAACTTTTTCTTTCTTATATATTTCAATTAGCTAATTATTTCTTGTTCAATTGAAACTATTTGAATACCCTCTTGCATCTCACATCCCTTTATTTAAAAAATAAATCTGACGGCATTTCGTCTGTATTCGAACATCTAGGGACAATTCTCACCGTCCCAACATCACCTGATAGACAGTATATTTCTTTCTTTTTTCAATCTAGAATCCATTCGTTGATTTTTTTTTATCTATGTCTCCATGCCAATGACTTATTAAACAATCCTTGCAAATTCAAGGCTCAAGAATCAACTCCATACAATTAGCATATTTCTTAGGCATGCTAATACAATTCATATCTTGTATAAATCTACACATGCTTCTCTAAACATAATATACTATGATCTCCAAGAGAATAACATGACATATACATCTCAAATGATAATAAAACTCATAAATTATGCCCTTTAAATATCAAAATAAAGTTTATAATCTCATGTCACTTCACTGTCCTGGCCTCCTGCCATGCGATGGCTCAGCATCATCGATCTCTATACATGAAATGTAAGTCCCCAAACGGGGTGAGATCAACCATCTCAGTAAACTAGGGGTCCTTGGAGGGCTCCTCCATCCCTAAGTTCACTTCAGGCATAATCACAGTATAAAATCATGTATACATCAGAATATGTATATCAATGCAAGTGTGTAATAATGAATCCTACCGGTCAGAGAATATAATAAGTATGCATTACGCAAGGAAACATCGTCTTGTAACATACCGTATGAGGAAACACCGTCTCATACTATGCATAAGGAAACACCGTCTTATGCCTCACACAAGGAAACACCGTCTTGTGTGGCACACAAACATACATACATATACATGCAACATATAAAAAATCATTTTCAACATACCATATCAAACTACCACCTTCCCTCGGAGTTTGGTGGAACAAATGGGGGATTAACCCCAAGGACCGAAAGCTTACCTAACAGTAGAATTCCACTTATGCTTTTCTTTAACTCAAAGTGAACACAACAAGCTCTCCACACCATGACAACCTATGGCCAAGGTAGGAAATGTGCTCAGCAATTATATCCACACATAAATATTAAGTCCATGGCTAGACAAACATCTCAAATATTCTACATTACTCTTAAAGCTCAACATTAGCTTAACTTACCTTTGTTCTTAAAATTCAAGAGACAAGGTTTTTACACCAATTGGTTCTCCTCTATAAAGGTGTCCTCAAACTCATCTCTACACCATGAGCAACAAGAAAACAACATCAAAATCTTCCTTTTTCCAAGTCATAAATACCATGAAACATAACACATTTTCATGGCAATTTACCAAGGTGGTCCAATCTACTATCTCTTTAATTTTTCTTCAACAAGACACCATTCTACACATACTTAACAAGAGAATCCATGTCTAAATCACCTTCTAACTCATCATACCATCAAATTTTCAGTTTACTATTCATTACAACCCTAACCTTCATGAAAATTCATAAAAACTTGGTTTGAGAGGAGATTTCTTACCGCAATGGGCTCAACAATGGAGGGAAAAGCTTGCTTCAAGTTTCCAAGGACCCAACCCCATCAAATCCCCATTTCTCTCCATGAACCCGAAATCATATACGAAGAAGAACTCTCTCCATGCTCAAACCCACTCCAAAATAAGGGTACCAATGGGTTCCTCTCGAAATTTCCTTCAATTTAGGCTTTGGAAGCACTTGATTTGGATGTCTAGAACTCAAGATATGGCTTGGTGAAGTTTTCTCTCAAAAACTCTCTTCTCCTTCTATGGTCGACAGATTTGCACGAGGAAGAAAGAAAAATAGGCTGAGTTGGTGTCTCTTTGTTTGTTTCTTTATGTCACTAAAGTGAGGTTGCTTGACCCAATGGGTAGAAACTTATCTATTTCGCTCACCAAACTCTTATTCCAACTTTACATATTAGTCCAGAATATTTTCATGGTAACATCTACCAATTTACTTTTAAATTTCGGATAACTTTGCATACCCGTACTTTTACCCCAATATTGTCATTTTTACTCTTTTTCACTGTGACTTTAATTCATTTTAATTAGGCTTCCCATTACTCTTCAATATTTATCATAAATTCCTTAATCCATAATTAAATCCACAATTACATGTTTGGGTCATTATACCCATGTTACCTCTAGCAAATCTCGACCAGCAACCCTCTACCTAATTCTTTTCAACCAAAGCATCGAACACCTTGAATTCACATCGAACTAAAGAAGCCATAAAGATCTCTCACACATTATCATCAAGAAAACCCATTAAAATTCCTTCATCACAACCATTTCTGACCCAGTCATTCCCAACCTTTCAACATCGAAGGTGAGCTACTAAGGGTAAAAGTGGGATGGGCTGAGCCGAGCTTTGCCCCGAAAAGCCCAAGCTTCTGCCAAAAAATTTCAATTTGTTATGGCTTTAGCCTAATACGAGTCTAACTACTAGCTTGGCTTAACCCGTTTATAAAAAAACAAATGGTCTGGCTTGGCCCGTTAGTCTGTTAATTTTTAACTTCTAAGTAGAACCATGAGTCAACTTCACATAATACTTAAATTTTGTTTCTAAAATAAAAATCACAATTTCAATGACCAAACAGAACCATGAATCACAACAAAACTCATCACAATATGCATTTAAGTCACTTTCAAAAGTAAAATGCTCAAACTAAATAACATATATTTCATCAGATTCAACAAACAAATCTATACTATGTAAATTAAAATAACTATATAAATCCAACAAACACATCATGATGCTTGTAGTAGGCAAAAACTTCTCTTCATCTTCTCTTCCCTACAAATATAATTCCAAGATTACATAAGTTGACAAATAATTTGTAAATGTAGAAAACAAAAACAAGAATAAAGAATAGAAACAAAAAAATAAGATTAAGAAACAAAAAATCTTTTAATAGATTCATATAGGTATACATACTGAGATGTTGGTTCCTCATATATAAAAAATAAAGCCAAATTTCTATTAAAATTTAATCGAATATAATTAAATTTTAAAATAATTTCAATTGATTAAATTTATACCTTTTATTTTTTCTTCAAGTCATACCTATTACGTAGCCAATCTCTGTCGTATATTAACGCTTGCATGGTATCTTCACCCAAGCTAGAACTATACACATCAATAATGTTGATTTTTATAGTACTGTAGAGATTGGTACAGATCTTATGCAACTCTCAAAGAAAGTATTGGTGAGGGAACGAAGCTAGGTCCTTCCACCACCTACTTAGCTTACATGCACCAATTGAACTATCACGATTTGGTACTACTATGAATAATATTATTTTATTTAATTTAAAATAAATAATATGATATAGGCCGACCTGTAGGCTTATAGGCCAGACATGTAAAAAAAAGCCAATCACTTACTTTCTAAACAGGTTTCTTTAAAAGTCCAGACCTATTCTATTTGACTATATATAATAGGCCAAACCCAGCCTGGTATAGGCTAGACCGGCCCGACCCACTTTCACCCCTATAAGCCACCATCTAAGCACCATATTCGAAAAAAAGCACCAAGTGGATGTTGTGCTGCGAGTCGGTTAACAACGTCGTTTGTGAAATTTTGCAGAACGGAGACTTTGTAGGGTCTTTGATGTTTGGACTTTGCTTTTCAGGCTGAAGTGTGATTTCTATATTTTCGTTTAGTGTGGGCTTAAGTTAGTTTTATACTATATGGGTTGGGTCCTTTAGTTTGTAGGGTTAACTTTTATAATTATGCCGTCATTAGTAATGATGGTTTTTTTATTTGTTTACTCTTTGGGTGGATTATTTTGTTTGCGTATTCATCACAATTAACTTATTGGTCATTATTTTTATTAATTTTAATTAACCAAGTCACAATTATGTTGGGTATATTAATAATATAATCCAATAATATGTTCACATATAAGCCCAATAGGTGAAAGCATGGTTATTCGGATCCATATGGGCTGGAGCCCAATAACTTGCATTATATCTAGGGTTTCCTAAGCTGGAGGTAACACTGTTGAGCATTCCAAACTTGATGTCTCTTGGTGTAATACTTCAAGCATCTCTAAACCCTTATCTCTCAAACTCGTAACCTCCAACAATTTTGAAGTATTAGCTTCGTGTGTCAGATTTGAGCGAGTAAGGTGTCTATTCGAAGATCTCATCGAGTGGAACTCATATGTTAAATCAATTTCGCGATTCGATGGAAGGATTTATCAGATCTGAGTTTGAAGAAACTGGAGCCGTAACTTTTCGGTCCAAATCTCGAAAATTTTGCCCATTTTCAGAAAGTGAAACCTAATGGGCATTGTTCTACAAGTCGAGACGATCGCTTTGAGTGGTCACTCGCCTTAAACGGAGATCGAACGAAGGAGTAATGG